ATTGTACCAATCCTATCTCTAGTCTTTTAATATGGAGCAATATTCTCAAACAAGTTAGAAATAATAGGTAGAGACCAACATAGCCTTCATCATGTAACATTTTATTAACTCACCTTATGAGCAGCAAAACTTGATTCATTTTTCTCTAGTGCTCTTTTTGCATAATCTAGGGCTTCATACACCAAAACTTTTTTTTCTTCTTCTGAAGTCCTACTAAGCTGTGCTATGTCACGTGATGCTCGTGCCAACCGCCACAGTAACTCTGCATCTTCACTAATTTTAGACAAGATATAAACCATCTTAATTCATACTGAAAAACTGTTAAAGATCACATCACTAATGATAGTTCTTTTAGCTTCCTTAGGATATACCAAGTATCATATATGATGCATTATTAACATTATTCTTTCATAAAAGTCGTTATTAGCTAAAATCTTGAAATTTTCCAAATTATTTGCAAACATTAACTTATCTTTATATAATATCTAAAACACTGCTTTTTTGTTTGTTTGTTTGTTTTGTTTTTCGCGACAGGGTTTCTCTATGGCTTTTGGAGGCTGTCCTGGAACTAGTTCTTGTAGACCAGGCTGGTCTCAAACTCACAGAGATCTGCCTGCCTCTGCCTCCCAATTGCTGGGATTAAAAGTGTATGCCACCTCCGCCCAGCTCAACACTGACTTCTTTAAAGAATGCTTTTGTATTCAGTTCTCTAAACACTTGTCCTGAAGCTCAACATGAAACATGAGGCTTGATTTACTAACATTGTACTTTATAAAAACTCCTAACTGGTTCAGATTGTACTGTAAAACACATTAGCTTTATGGACAGGATCATACTCTTTGAAAATGCAACTGCCAAATCCTTTGCCCCAAATACATTTGGCAAAAAAATGATATGTGATAGTTACTTATCTGTACATGAGTGAATGACTGAACAAATGCAATCTCAAACTAAATCCTAAGTTTCATTGACATGATGTTGTATGACATATATCAAGCAAGGGCACTGGACTCCTTGAAGAACTATTATTTAAATACAATATAAAACAAAAATGACTAATAAAATAGAAATCACAATTGACAAAAATGTTTTAACCTTGAATTACTTTTTATAAAATGTGTGTGTGCATAAGCCTAATTTGTATTTTTCCCTTTGTGGATGAAAAATAGCACTCACTTAAAATGTTGAAACTTAAAGGTATTAAAAGAGTATATTTATTGTTCAGTAACATGGAATAATTATACCTCACAGTTTACTTTTCAAATAAGCACTGTCAAATGGCAAAACAACCCACTCATGAAGACACACTGAAAAAGTTGCAACTAAAGTTGGTGGGAATGGGGGTGTGTGAAATTATTAATAAAAGTAGATGAAAAGCAACTCGATATTTCCATAAGTAAATGCATGGAAATGTCATTTAGCCATACTTAACTCATAGGGTTGAGGTTTCCACCCCTCCCTATTCTCTGAAATAGTGCATACTGGCATTCTATCCTAAACATGTAGTCTAGAGCTAAACAGAAAATGGAAGTGTTTGGTGTTTCTTTGAAAACTCTTCCTAAAACAATCACAGAACCAACCAAAACTCCAGTAAATTCATTTAAATCTTATACCAATTAGGAATTACATTAAAAAAAAAACCAAGAAAAATGGATGATGAGAAAATGAATATATTTAGTGATAATTTTGTGAACCAATTCATAATACAAAAAATATTTCAATGTTCTATCAGAATAAAAACAATTTTCACAAATCAATGAGATTTAAATATTACTTTTCAATCATTTACTTTAAATCATGACTTAATATAAACTGAACTCTAAGAAATACTACTTTGCATTAAAAGTTATATAAAAAGTTTAATACCACCAGGAGGTGGTGGCACATGCCTTTAATTCCAGCACTTGGGAGGCAGAGACAGGCGGATCTCTGTGAGTTCGAGACCAGCCTGGTCTACAAGAGCTAGTTCCAGGACAGTTTCCAAAGCCACAGAAAAACCCTGTATTGACCACACACCCCCCCAAAAAAAAGTTTAATACCAAGAACCATTTTATTGTTAACAAAAACTTTTTGAGTTAACCTGAAACCCAGGTAAATCATACATTCCTTACCTTTCCTTGTATTGTATGAGCAACTGATAAAGCTTCTCTGTTTCTCCACTTTCATATAGGTAGTCTGCTTGCTCAAGTACTTCTTCAACTTCCAAAATCATAAAATGAAAATAAGAAAAACCACTGTTATATATGCTAACCAAACCAGACACAGAAACTACTTTTAAATCAGATTCTGAACCATCCATATAAAAGTATTGTAGCAGTAAGCATGAAACAAGTAAGCAAGATCGTTTATAGTAAGCGATCTACTGAAACCACAAAGGATACAACCCAGAGAACATGGGATACTAAATTGGATGAATACAGTTTTAAAAAAACAATGAAAAGGAGTGATTCCTTATGAGGAACTTATGGCCCAGAAACTACAATCTTTTTGCTGCTGCTGTTACTTAATAAGTGCCATGCACTGTAGGAAAGGATGATATAGGGTCGGGATGGACGGTTCAGTGGTCAAGGCTAGAGTTTGGCTCCCAGTAGACCTGTCTGGTGGCTCACAACCACCTACAGTTCTAGGTGCAGAGTCTCAGACACACTCTCCTGTCCGCCTTGGGTAAATGTATATACCATCCTACAGTTCTAGGTGCAGAGTCTCAGACACACTCTCCTGTCCGCCTTGGGTAAATTTTTATACCATCCCCACTCCCACACCTTCTCTCTCTTACACACACACAAACACACACACACAAACAACCACACACACAGACACACACACACACAGACACACACACACACACACACACACACACACACACACACAACATTTTAAAGAAAATAATATATACTATCTAATTGCAGAACTAAAAACACTATTTTACTATATTCTCTTATTATCTAACTTACACGTACATTCCGTTACAGAAAAAGTCAAACCTGTCACAAACCTAGACAAAGTTAACTACACAGATAATCTGAAACATAATTTATTGGCACTGTATTCCTTCCAACTCTTAAAACAATTACACATGGCTATAAAATATTGATAATAAAAAAACATTAATCACAATCTAATGCCCCCAAATTTGGTTGTACACTGAAAACACAGTAAGTTTGAAGCCTAGGAAATTTCAGTTATCACTAAGATATACACTAATTTAAATTTTGCCTTCTATAAGGGTATCTATTATATACACCTCCTATAAGCCTGTATCCAATTTATTATTTATCTTGATTTTTTTACTTTAATTTCTTTTTATTTTACATACACGAACATTTTGCCAACATGCACGGTTGTGCATCTTATGTGTGTCTGGTGATTGAAGAGGCCAGAAGAGGGTGTTGACCTTTTGGAACTGGAGTTATGATGATTATGAGGTGCCATGTGGGTGCCGTAATGGAACCCAGGTCCTCTGGAAGAGCAGCCAATGCTTTTGACCACTTAGTTATTTTTCCAGTCCCATTCTGATAGATTTTAAGTTATAGTGTTTTTTGAAGTTAAAAATATTAAAATATATTAGACCAATACTCCTCAAATTGTTCCACACAATAGAAGCAGAAGGATCAATGCCAAACACTTTTTACCAGGCAACAATTACCTTGGTAACCAAGCCACAAAGACAAAACTAAGCAAGAGAACTATAGACCAATATCCCTCATGAACATTGATGCAAAAATACTCAATAAAATACTGGCAAACCAAATACAAGAACATATCAGAAAAATCAACCACCATGATCAAGTAGGCTTCATCCCCGGGATGCAGGGTTGGTTCAACATTGGAAAATCTTTCAATGTAATCTACCATATAAACCAACTGAAGAAGAAAAACCACATGATCATCTCACTAGATGCTGAAAAAGCCTTTGACAAAATCCAACATCCCTACATGATAAAGGTCCTGGAGAGATCAGGAATAACAGGAAAATACCTGAACATAATAAAAACAATATACAGTAAGCCAACAGCAAACATCAAACTAAATGGAGAGAAACTCCAAGCTATTCCTCTAAAATCAGGAACATGACAAGGCTGTCCACCCTCTGCATACCTCTTCAAAATTGTCCTTGAAGATCTAGCTAGAACAATAAGATAACAAAGGAGATCAAGTGGATAGAATTTGGAATGGCACAAATCAAGATTTCACTGTTTGCAAATAATTGGAAAGGAAGAAGTCAAACTTTCTCTATTTGCAGATGATATGATATTCTGCATAAGTAACCAAAAACTACACCAGGGAACTCCTACAGCTGATAAACACTTTCAGCAGAATACATAATTAACTAAAAAAATCAGTAGCCCTACTATATATGGATGATAAATGTGCTGAGAAAGAAATCAGAGAAACATCACCCTTTTTACAATTGCCACAAACAGCAAAAACACTAACCAAAAAAGTGAAAGATCTGTATCACAAGAATTTTGAGTCTTTAAAGAAAGAAACTAAAGAAGATACCAGAAAATGGAAGGATCTCCCATGTTCTTGGATAGGTAGAACCAACATAGTAGAAATGGCAATCTTGCCAAAAGCAATCTACAGATTCAATGCAATCCCCTTCAAAATCCCAGCACAATTCTTCACAGAACTTGAAAAAATGATTCTCAACTTTACATGGAAAAACAAAAGACCCAGGATAGCCAAAACAACCCTGTACAGTAGAGGAACTTCTGGAAGCATCACCATCCCTGACTTCAAGCTCTATTATAAAGCTATAGTCCTGAAAACAGCTTGGTATTGGCACAAAAATAGACAGGTAGACCAATGGGATCGAGTTGAAAACCCTCATATTAACCCCCACACCTATGAACGCCTGATTTTTGACAAAAAAAAAAGCCAAAGCTATACAATGGAATGGAGAAAGCATCTTCAACAAATGGTGCTGGCATTACTGGATGCTGGCATGTAGAAGACTGCAGATAGATCCATGTCTATCACCATGCACAAAACTTAAGTCCAAATGGACCAAAGACCTCAACATAAACCCAGCCACACTGAACTAATTAGAAGAAAAAGTAGGAAATACCCTTGAAAGAATTGGTACAGGACACTGCTTCCTGAACATAACACTGGTAGCACAGACACTGAGATCCAAAATTAATAAATGGGAGCTCCTGAAACTGAGAAGCTTCTGTAAGGCAAAGGACATAGTCAACAAGACAAAAACGACAGCCCACGATTTGGGAAAAGATATTCACCAACCCCACATCCAACAGAGGGCTGATCTCCAAAATTTACAAAGAACTCAAGAAGCT